CCCCATCGCCTGCCCCTCTTTGAACGCGAACGCCAGGCACCGGAGAGCCTTGGAGGCCATGTCTGTGAGGACGGCCTCTGTGGCTCTGCGGCCCTCCGAGGTGAGCGGGACTATGGAGCCGTCTGCTAGTTGGATGGATGTGCAGCGCTCCAACACCGACTCCACTGCTCCCTGTGGTTTGGCACGCGGGGGAGGCATGGAGGGACAGGGAGGGATAGGACGAGGGACACGGAGGGACAGGAGGAGGAGGGACAAGAGGAGGGGAAGATAGCGTTTCATAGGACCTGAACGTGGGTAATCACACACATGGAGGCGTGTCTTGCCCTGCGCGTTCCTTACAATCACACTCATGGAATCACAGGTTCCTCCTCGCTGCATTCGTTACAGTCACAATGCTCACCTTGACGAGGAGGCGAGTCTTGCCCTGGCCGCTCCTCACAATCACACTCATGGACTTGCGGCTCCGATCAAACTCCAACACCGCCTTCCTCTCCCACTGCTTGCCCCACCACTCGTTGGCATCTGCCGCAAGACAGGAGTTAGTGATGGGAGAAATGGGTGATGGTAGTGAGACATAAGGCACCGTGGGATGATGGTTTTAGCTGGACAAAACTTCAGCACCGCCTTCCACTCCCACTGCTTGCCCCACCACTCGTTGGCATCTGCCGTGGGAAAAGGCGGGAGGGATGAGGCAGGAGTTAGTGAAACGAGAGATGGGGTGATGGTAGTGGGAGAGAAGAAGCCATGGAATGATATTTTCCGGCTGGGTCAGCGCCACCCAACAATGCACGCTCCTAACACGTGACCAGCAGACATGTTCTGGCAGTCTAACATCTAGTCTCACCTAGCAAGTGCCCTGCAGGAGCGCCTTTCTGCTTATTCCGGATGCTCAGCTGCATCGTGTCATCCGGCACACCAATCTTCTCCACCAGCACTCTCAAGGCCGGCCCCAACGCACGCTTCTGACAAGTGAGTCTTGACCAGCAGGCATGCTCTGGCCGTCTAGTATCTAGTCTCACCTAGCAAGTGCGAGGCAGGTGCCCCTTTCCGCTTATTCCGGATGCTCAGCTGCATCGTGTCATCCGGCACACCAATCTTCTCCACCAGCACTCTCAAGGCCGCCTCTGTGGGCAGCCCAGACGCCCTGTATACCCCTCCCTTGAGCGATATGCTCGCGTCGTTGCACAGGACAGCCGCTTGTGTGAGAGATTGCGTGTTGGGAAAGGTGACTGACCGCCCCCAGTTTATGATTTCGCCGTCGGCTGGGTTGTAGGAGGTTCCGTCGACGGCGAATGAGAGGAAGGTGGAGGGAAGCGTGCCTGGGAGGACCAACGCAGACACAGCCATCTGATGGGACGAGTGATTGGAGGAGGAAAGAATGGGGAGTTGGAGGTGACAAGGCAGAGAGGTAAGTAGGCAGTTCATAGTTGGACTGTTGAGCTCAAAGGCGCTAGATGGCTTCTATCCAAGGAGCAGAAGGGCATGCAAACGCCGGGCCATCCTCGTTATTAGCCTCACCTGGTTGGTGGTGAGTGTGCCAGTCTTATCGGAGCAGATCACAGTGGTACACCCCAGCGTCTCCACAGAAGGAAGCTTCCTCACAATCGCGTTCTTCTGAGCCATCTTCCTCGTACCCAGCGCCAGGCATGTGGTGATCACCGCAGGTAACCCCTCGGGAATCGCCGCCACCGCCAGCGCCACAGCTATCTTAAAATAGTAAGTGCATTTCTGGAAAGAAAATGTGAATCTCAACCCCCCGGACCACCATGCGACCGGATCCTCCTTCCAGGAGAGGAAGAACTTGTAATTGATGAGCCAGACGAGCAGGCAGATCACCCCGATGACTGTGGTAAGCCGCTCTCCGAACTCGTCTAGTTTTTTCTTTAAGGGTGTGTCGTCCTCTTCCGCTGCTGCTGCTGCGATCTGCTGCTGAATCTTGCCGATCTCTGTGTTCATGCCCGTGGCTATGACCAGGTTGCGGCTGGAGCCGTTGACCACTGTGGTGCCCGCAAACACCATGCTCTCCTTGGCCTGGTGGGATGGGGAGGGACGAGGATGCATACGGTAATGTGTGAGACTAGGCATGTGCTGTGTCGACTCAGAACGCACGTGTTCATGCCAGTGACTATCACCACCAGGTTGCGGCTGGAGCCGTTGACCACTGTGGTGCCCGCAAACACCATGCTCTCCTTGGCCTGGTGGGATGGGGAGGGAGTGGAGGCCAATGCAAATGCGTACAGTAAGGTGGGAGACTCAGAAACGACCCAAAACACAGAACCGTTAACCACTGTGGTCCCAGCAAACACCAATGGGTATGGGAGGGAGGACAATGGGGATGCGTGTAGTAAGGTGTGAGACTAGGCAAGAGAGAGCAGGAATGAGGTATTCTATTGCAAGCCAGTGACCCGTTGACCAGCTCCTTCCCGCCCCCATCTACCTCCCAACATGCAAATATCTGCAAGACAATACAATACAAGCATAGGCAGTTGCATAGGCCCCCCTCGCCCTCACCTGCAGCTCACAGTCCGCCTGCTGAACCTCATTCGCCGACTTCTGCACAGCCATGCTCTCGCCAGTCAGCGACGCCTGCTCCAGCCTCAGCGTGGAAGTGAGGAGGCTTATAACGCGCATGTCAGCAGGCACCTTGTCCCCCACCCGCAGCTCCACTATATCGCCCGGTACCAGCTCGCGCGCTGGCAGATCGTCCATGTGCTCCCCCGCCCTCACCACCTTGGCTGTCTCGGACTGTTAGAAAGAATCCAGGGGTGTGGGGACCGTGACAAGGCTAGGAAGCCAAGTGATTAACAGGATTCATGTGCTGCCAGTCGTCACATGCTATCACATTGGCCCGATGCCTCTACTGTATCCGACTGAGGAGAGAGGGTGAGAGCGATGGGAGAGAGATGAGAGAGGCCATACAGACAATAAAATGGTGGAGGAAACGAGAGGTAGTCTAAACCCAGAACCTTATCAGAAGTTGAACCATCTTAAAATTCAGGGTTCATCGCAGCAGTGCTCGTGGCAAACAGGTTACACTGTGAAGCCTGCCACTGTGTTAATGACCCGGAAGCCGTAAAATTACCTACTTGTAGTGCCTACCTGCATGTCTTTAAGAGCCTCTAGTGCGCGCTCGGCATTGCTCTCCTGCCACACGCCCACGCAGGCGTTGAGAATGAGGATGAGCAGAATGACCAGCGGCTCCACGTATGCTGTGATGCCGCCGTCCTCCTGCACATGAAGACACGCGAAATAACGGGGGAATAGCGGAGGCACGACGAGAACGCAGTGCAGGAGAGAAGGAAAGAGAAGCGGGAGGAGAGATAAAACAGCAACTAGCTGAGCATTGAGATTCTCTCACTCCGCAATTCAACGGCCGGGACCTCTGGAAGAAGAGAAGCACAGACTTGTCGGGATGGCAAGGGGAGCTCGGAAGCACGGATGCAGGGAGGAGGCACGGGAGAACGGAAGGTCTGCGAGAGGATGAACAAGTTGGGGTTCGACACCCGATTAGGGCCGTAGAATGACAGCCAGGGACGGCTACTATAGAACCAGCGGACTGTCGAACGAGTAGAATGCCAGAGCTACGAAAGGATCGCGGGAAGTGAAGCAGAAATTGGAGAATTTGATTTGACAACAATCGGAAAAGGAACACAGCGAAGCAGGTGACACGTCTGATCCACGCAGTGCACCATGTGAGTTCCAATACTTGGATCACACCCGATCCACGCTGCATCCTGTCCGCGGAGTCAAGGAAAATGAGATTCCCAAAACCGGACGACTTTGAGACACAAACACAGACAGACAGAACAATTTTTTTGCTGACCTGCTCGTCCACATAGGCGAGGACGAACGAGACGGCAGCAGCGGCGAGAAGGATTTTGACGAGCGTGTCGTTAAACTGATCTACAACCAGCTTCCAGAACGGCGTGCCGGGTTCCTTCTCCAACTCGTTAAAGCCGAATCGGCTTCGTCGCCACGCGACATCCTGGGGATCTAGACCCTTGTCTGCATCCACCTGGTACCGATCTAAACACTCCTGCACCGAATGCGACCACGCTGGGAACGTGCTTTCGGGTATGGATCCCAAATTAGACGACATCGTTAACGCGCAGGAGCGAGAACGAACGGTGCAGTAGATCGGCCGTGAAGACGCTCTGAAGACGTGATCGCACGAACGCAACAACAATCTGGCCGAACACACTCTTTCAGTAACTACCAGGGAAATTACGCCGTCTGACTACGGCCTGCAACGTCCCTCACGCGCTGTGCCTGATGCTCCTGCTCACGCTCACTCGGGACCTGACATCGCCTGGAGTTTGTGATTCACTTCACGAGTTCAGCAGCCTTGGGATTAGAACTTGGGATTCAAGCAAAGCACGCAGGCAGCGTGGCGATCAGATCGGGTGCAGGTGCGAGGAAGGTGGTGCTCTCGCTGGGGGCCTCGAGAATGTACAAATCTCGAGAGTTGCTTTCCAAAATGGACGTCCCAGATGTGTTGGAAGAATCGCGGAGGAACAGAAACTGACATAATTGAAAAGACCTGTTGTCCTTCTTTGTAGCACTTCTTTTGCGATTGATGATTCTTACTTTCCAGCAATTGTGCTTGGGGAAATTCAATCAGAGCAATTATGCATTCAGTAGATCACAATGGCTCAACTGCTCAATCATGTGATTTACTGTGATTTCTTCTTTTTGAAGCATATGATCTCTTTATTGAAAACAAGTTTAACGCCCCAAAACTGAGGATCTCTCTATTGCGAACAAGTTTTCAACCAGCTGAGTTGGTCTAGTTGGTACGGTATGCCCAACCTAAGAAAGCTTTGTCCTCTTCAGTGGACAACACACATTCTAAGATAAAAGTGATGAGTTTCCCCCACATTCTAGACAAGATACCTAAGGCAGTTTGAACCGAATATCTTGAAAAGAAATACCGAAAATAAAAAAGCTGAAGGGTTTTGTGTCTTTCCAGCAGAGCAGCCAGATCTGCCCTGGTGTGTGTTTCAGGCCTTGGGCTTGGAGGGAGGGCCCTCAACGGACTTGATGAGCTCAGCAGTCTTCTCCTGCACTTGGCTGACCACCGGCCCTGCCACCTCCTTAACCTTCTCCACCGACTCACCCACTTGACTCACGACAGGCCCTGCAACGTCCTTCACCTTGTTCACCTGCTCCTCCACCTGCGACACGACAGGCTCGGTAAGCTCCTTCACCTTCTCCACTGCTTGCTCCGCCACTGGCTTAGCGGCTTCCAAGGCTGCCTCGGCAACAGGCTTGGCCGCTTCCAGGGCTGCCTCAGCGACGGGCTTGGCGGCGTCGATCGCAGCTTCGGCGTATGGCTTGGCGGTCTCAGCGAACTCCTGAGTGGCCTCCCATGTCTGTTGGGCGATTGCATGGGGGAAGGGATGGGATGGGGAGCTGTTAGTTTGAAGGCAAGACAAAACACTCATCATGCACTGATGGGGGCACTGATGGGGGCACTGATGGGGGCACTGATGGGGGCACTGTTTAAAAGCACTGATGGGGCCAGAACACTCGTCATGCAGGATGTCATCACACACATGGCGCATACCAGCACCAGCAGATTGCACCACCATCAGTACCAACATTTCCACATGTCACACCAGCACACACATGGCACAAAGTAGCAAATCCCAAGCACACGAGCGGCACAGGGGAGGGAGGAAAGGCATACCGCTTCAGCGAAGGGGATGACGACGTCGTCCACGATGGGCACCACAAAATCCTTCACCTCCTCCAGACCCTGCTCACACGGAGATAAAGGGAGGAAAACGGGGGAAGGGGAGGTGAAGTGTGATTGCGAGACTGTGGGATGACTGGATCAGGCAAGGCACTGCTGCATGGTACCACGTGACCACGTCCCCCTCCTCCAGCTTCTGCTCCACGGGGGCAGGGGGGATGAGAGGTGTGAGTGGACAGTGAGGGTTGAGGCAGGAAGGGACAAGGGTGAGGGTCGAGGTGTGGGGGGACAGGTGTAAGAGTTGAAGGGTGAGGGACGAGGGACGAGGATGAGTGTCGAACGGAATAGAAAAGGGGTTGGTTCAATTCAACAGAAGGGGGGGGGGGGAAACGGAATAGAAAAAGGGGTGGTTCAACAGAAGGGGGGAGCTACTCAATAGGCGCTACACAACAAAGGCTCGAGTAGTTTGACCCTCTTTTTGCCAACTATTAAAGCTTCCACCTATCCAGAACGTGCTGCACTGGCATGGGCTGCCTCCCTCTCACTTCCTCGATCTCCTTCCACTTCTCATCCGGCAGCACAGTTTTTTTAGAATTCTCAAAAACGGATTCAGCCTTCTCACCTCCTCAATCTCCTTCCACTTCTCATCCGGCAGCACAAAGAGAGCTGCGATGCCACCGCTAAACGCGGCGAGCACGCCGAACTGCGACACGAAGAGCGGCAAGCCGCCACGCTTGCTCTTCTTCTTCGCGTCCTGCTGCTGCTGCTTCACCTCCTTCACTGCCGGGGCCACTGTGCTCGACGGCTTCAGCTCCGGCTGCAAGGAGGGCAGGGAGCACGCGAGGGAGGAAGCAAGCCGAGGGGTGGGAGGAGTGGATTAGACTTTAGAGGCGTTCAACGTGCGAATGACGAAACGTGTGTTCGAATTGGCTAATGAAATCGGAACCCTAGATGCACGGGAGGGGATTACCAGACAGCGCTCAGATACTGATTTCATTCGCCTTATGGGGAGAAATTCCATTCGTGGCAACATAAGAGGAGGTTGTACTGGGAGTGTGTGAGCCCGCGGGGAGGGGGCATTCGACGTGTCACCCTCGACGACAAAAGAGAATGTCAAGAGAAAATGTCTTTCCAGCGGGATGCAAGTGAGGTACTTTCGATAACGCAGCGGCATCCGCGCGGGAGAGTAATCAGGGACTGGGTAGGCTAATCAGTCGGCCCAATGCCACGCGTCGACTTGCCCATAGAACGTGGCATCTTCATTTCGCTTACTACCAAACCCACACTGCACGTTATGGACCAAAATACCCCTTGCGGACGATCGCATTCAAGAAGCCCTTCGCCTTCGCAATAGCTTCTGTACCACTCACCTTAACGAAGAGCCTCTGCGCCTGAATCTTCTCCTCCGCGAATCTCCGCGCGGCCTCCTCCTCCGCCGCCTTCTTCTCCGCCTCCGCGCGCGCCGCAGCTGCGATCGCCTCCTGCTCCTCGCGCTTCTTGCGCAGCAGCTCGCCCAGCCGCCGAGCTCGCTCCTCAGGCTGGCGGAAGAAAAAACGGAGAGCACGTAGCACTTTAGACAACAGCGGAAGGTCCGATACACAACACGCCTCGCACTTTAGAATGCATTATCTCCTCCTTGCGACGATCCTTTTACGACGACGGCAAGGAGCAAGGGAATGATGCATAAGTAGAAACGACTGACATTGCGACTGGGCATCGGCAGACAGAGGCGAAGGCGTGATATCAGTTGAGTGTGGTGCTTACCGTGTTTACAGCAGCCTCATCCACAACAGCGACCTCCTGTACAACCACGAGAGAGCAGCACGAATGGAAATCGGCGTGAACTCATTGGTCTCGAGAGTGAGAATGGGCTTCGGTGATGGTGGGGGGGACGTCGACAGGATGCAACGGGAATCCACGTAGCATAGAGGCACATGGAACCTAGGAAAATCCCAGGAGAACTGAAGCGGCCAATGCATGCGATGAAAGTTTCGTGGATGATGTACCTCTGCTTGAGCGGCGGCAACGCCACCGGTGAGGAGATAGCTCTGCATCGCGTCAGCTGTAGGCGCGATGCCCATCACGGTCGCGGCTGCCAGAAAGCCGAGAGAGCGGAAACGGAACGATGTGAATATCGATGATATTTGTGCATGTGTGACGCTGATCCGATCCCAACATTCTCATTAGTGAGAAAGGGGGCTCACGTAAGGAGCCTGTACAAGTCCGGAAAAAATGCGTTATTGATGGTAACTCACCAAAGATCGCGGAGGACAGAGCCGGAACGACGGCTCTAGCGAGCTGAGCCGCGAAGTTGGGCGACGCATTCTTATTGTCGCCATCGGCACGGCACGACACGCTCGTCGCGACGGCCCTTCTGGCGGGAGCGGCGACGGAGACGGTCACTGGTTGGCCCTTGAACACCGTCTGGTCGGCGAGGGCGAGCCGGGAATCGACGGCTAGAGAAGCGGAGGTGTTAAGAGCCGACATGGTTGCGTGCGGTGCAATGCAATGGACGCAAGAAAACCAGCTGTAACAAGTGGAATCGCTAAAGGAATGGCGGCAACCAAGAGACTGGGAGGATAATGGCTGGCGCAGAAGCAGCAGAGGCTGGGATTCAAAGACCAGAGAAATAGGCACGGCAGTCTCTAGGGACGGCTGTTGGTCAGATCACCTCCAGCAACGCGGAGATTCGGGAAATTTTGCGTCATGGCATTTCCAAAGCTGAACTGGTGGTGCTGGTGATGGGTTGAGTTCTTAGGGGCTCATCTACGGCAATGCTGCGTTAGCGGAGGCAATCTTCAAAATTCGACGGGCACGATTCCAGCGTAAGCCGTAAAAGGCCGATAGCTGGTGCCACGCGGAGTGGAGATTGGGGCGAGTGGTCCTTCAACCTTGGAACCTCCCCAGAGAATCTCTCCAGGGTGACTTGGCAGATTCTGGAAACACTGATGAATCCAGCGTGGCATCGGCCTCTTGTCTGGCACGGGCGAGCGGCATGCTGGAATTGACGTCTGGTTTTCGACATGATAACGGCCTCAACTACACGAAGCAGAGATTCTCGAAGTGACCAAACGCACTTTTTCCCTAAACACGATTGGAAACAAATACAAAATGACTCTAATTCACAACACAGCACACCTATATACTACCAGCACAGGAGACTAAATTCAGCCAAAGAAATCAGAGTCTTCCTTCCATATATTTCTATGCATTGCAGATGGCGTAATAACTTCGTTATCATATGGAATCACCTGGTAGCCGAAAAAGAATTGGGAGCGCACGGAAATGGCAGAAATGGTTGTTTGAGAAGACATGCAGATTGCAATGCACCAAACCAATGCTCATTCCAGCATAAAAAGAAGGGCAGTGCAACAGCAAATCTTGTAAAAAACGACAGGACACCCACATCATGTTCTTACCTCGACTCCTCCCCACAACATTCGCTTGCCACTAGTGCTTCCAACTCCACCATCCAATTGTTTCCTGCCTCCATGCCCGTCATCGGCCAATTGCCTGCTTCCATGGCCATCATCGGCCAATCGCCTGCTCCCATGCCCATCGTCGGCCAATCGCCTGCTCACATGCCCATCATCGGCCAATCGTCTGCTTCCACGCCCGTCATCGGCCAATCGCCTGCTCCTAGACCCAACCCCAGCCATGGAAGTTCCTGCTGCTGCAGCAGCGTCACCTGCAGCAGGTGATATCAAACTACCAAACCCTTCATCAGCCAATCGCCTGCTTCTCGAGCCAGGCCCAACCAGAGAAGGTGTCGCTGCTGCAGCAGCGTCACCAGCAGCAGGAGAGATCAAACTGCCAAACCCCTCATCAGCCAATCGCCTGCTTCTCGAGCCCAGCCCAGCAAGCGGACTGGCAGCTGTCGCAGGAGAAGCAGCAGAAGCAGCACCAGCAGCAGGAGAACCAGCAGTAACAGCAGCAGAGGGGGAGAACAAGCTACCAAAGCCATCATCAGCCAATCGCCTGCTTCTGGAGCCCAGCCCGGTAAGAGAAGGGCTTGCTGCCACAAGCCGGTCAGCAGCATCAACAAAAGTAGGAGCAGCAACCACAGGGGCGGAATGGGAAATGCCGAATTCATCGTCCTGTAGTCGCCGCCCTCTCTGCCGCCCATCCACTACGCGCCCCCTAGGGGTAGGAACTGATGCTCCGCTTGGGCCTATCACAGCACTCGGGCCTGCCGCACCTGCAGCTGCCGAGCCTGCAGCTGCCACACCTGCAGCTGCGGAACGTGCCACTGCTGCACCTGCAGCTGCCGAGCCTGCAGCTGCCCCACTCTCGGGTGCTTTACCAGCAGCAGCAGCAGGAACATCAGAGTCAGGAGCAGCTGCAATGCTGTCCCTCCCACCAGCACCAGGAGCAGCAGCAGAAACAGTAGCAGCAGGCGTGGCAGCAGGTGTTGCAACTTTAGCAGCAGATGCAGCAGCAGGAGGAGCAGCAGGTGTAGCAGCAGGTGTAGCAGCAGGTGTAGCAGCAGGTGTAGCAGCAGGTGTAGCAGAAACTGTAGCAGGAGAGGCAGCAGCATGTGCCTCTAGCCCAAAGGGAGGGGTGGCGATGCCATCACTGTCGTCCCACAGCCGCCTGCCACTAGCCCTGCCCTTGCCATGCAAGGCCGGCCCTTGAGCTTGCCCCGCGCCCCTCTCACTGCTGCTTGCGTCCTGTGCCGCAGTGAGAGCAGTGGGAGTAGTGAGAGCAGCGGCAGCAACGGGTGCAGAGGGTGCTGCAACGGGTGCAATGGGAACAGTGGGTGTGGTGGATGTGGTGAGGGCAGTGGGAGCACTGGGAGCGGTGGGAGCAGCCCCGGGAGGAGGTAGCACAACGCCAGCAGAAGAGCAAGAGGCAGGTGGAGTAGAAGCAGGGGCAGAAGCAGGTGTAGCCGCAGCAGAGGCCTGGTTTTGAGTTGACTCATAAGCAGCAGCCGGGGCAGAATCAGGGGCAGAGACAGGGACAGAAGCAGGGAGAGAAGCAGGGACAGAAGAAGCAGCAGAAGCAGGGGCAGGGGCAGAGGCAGGGGCAGAAGCAAGTTGGACAGCCGGGGAAGTTGCAGGGGAGACAGCAGGGGCAGCAGCAAGTTGGACAGCCGGGGAAGTTGCAGGGGAGACAGCAGGGGCAGCAGCAAGGGTGACAGCGGCGGCAGCCGCATCGGATTTCTGAGGGGCCTCAAGAGTGGGAGGTGCAGCACCAGCAGCAGGGCAATCCGAGGTGGCGCTGCTTCCCACAGGGGTTGTGGGGGGGCGCAGGGCTTGCGAGCGGCGCTGCTGCTGCCTGTGCTGTGGGGCATGGGCACCAATGGGTGGTGTGAACGGCCTGAGGGACTGCTGTGACGTGTCAGAATGAGCAATGGGTGGGGTGCGGGGCCTTAACAGAGCATGAGACGTGTCAGCATGAGAAACGGGTGGGGTGCGTGGCCTGAGCGAGTCTGGCAGGCCAGCAGCTGCCATCACAAAGGCACGTGGAGTCATGGGCAGCCATGACAGCATGCCCCCCCCCGCTGCCGCTGCACCTCCTGCTGCCGCTGCTCCTCCTGCTCCTGCTCCTGCTCCTGCTGACAAATCTGGCTCGTGCGCTGGCCAAATGCTCAGCCCACTACCATGCGGTTTGGCAGTAGCAGCAGCAGCAGCAACAGCAGCAGCAGCACCAGTGTCACCTGCGCTATCAACGGCAGCAACGGCAGCAGCAGCTGGGCCACCAGAGGGACCCATGCCCCACCACCCACTGCCACTCCCACTGCTGCTCTTAGCGGCCGCCACTCTCACTGCCCTATCCTTCCCCTCCTCCCCCTCCTTTGTACCCACCACTGCACTTGGCTCGGCAGCAGCCTGGCCAGTAGCTTCGGCAGCAGCCTCGGCAGTAGCTGCGGCGGCAGCTTCGGCGGCGGAGCGGGCGACTGCCAGCTGGCGGCGGTTGACTCGCAGGCGCTGCTGCAGGCTGTGGTGCTGCCGCTCCCTCTCCTGCAGCCGCTGCCTGTAGCTGCTGAGAACCTGAGTGTGGAGGGGAAATGGCACATTTGCAACAAGGGGCATGAGTGGGGGAGAGGGGACTGAGTGGGCGCTGCTGCGCGCGGTGGTGCTGCCGCTCCCTCTCCTGCAGCCGCTGCCTGTAGCTGCTGAGAACCTGAGTGTGGAGGGGAAATGGCACATTTGCAACAAGGGGCATGAGTGGGGGAGAGGGGACTGCGTGGGCGCTGCTGCGCGCGGTGGTGCTGCCGCTCCCTCTCCTGCAGCCGCTGCCTCTAACTGCTGAGAACCTGAATGGGGTGGGGGAAGAGGCAGCAAGTGGGAGAGGCAACAGGGGGGACAAGTGGGGAAGTTGGGAGTACGAGTGGGCTCTGCTGCCGGCGGTGGTGCTGCCGCTCCCTCTCCTGCACCCGCTGCCTGTAGGTGCTGAGAACCTGAGAGTGGGGGGGAAAGACAGCAGGTGGGGCTAGGCAGTGCTGTTACCACTTAACAACACTCCACCTGCTGTGCGTCCATCAGTCGCTGCTTCCCATCTTCCACAGCCTGCTGCAACAACCTCCCCTTGCCCCCCCTCCCCCCTCTCCCCCCTGCCGCAACAACCACCTGCTGCTGAGAAGGGTCTTACCTGCTGTGCCGCCATCAATTGCTGCTCCCCATCTTCCTCCGCCTGCTACAACAATCCCGCCTCTCCCCCCTCTCCTTCTACCTGCAGGAGGCGAGGCTTACCCACCTCGACATCAGAAACAGACTTACCTGCTGTGCGTCCATTAGTCGCCGCTCCCCATCTTCCACAGCCTGCTGCAACAACCCCGCCTCTCCTCCCTCTCCTCCCTCTCCTCCTCCCTCCCCTCCCACCTCTCCCCCCTCCCCAGCTCCCTTCCTATCCCCACGTTCCTGCAGGTCTCTCAAGAGAAACACCATGGTGTCACGGATAGCAGCAACCTGCCCTTCCACGTCCAGCACCACCTGCTGCTGCACGCCCACGCGCCTCGCCTCCTGTGCCGCCTCCTCTGCTACCTCCTCTGCTTGCTGCATGAGAGCCTGCTCCTGCCGCTGCAGCAGCACCACCTGGTGCTCCAAGGCGGCCTGCTGCTGCTGCAGCTGCTGCACCTGTTTACGCCGCTCCTGCTCCTGCTGTAGCCGTTGCTGCTGCTGCTCGCCAGCAGAGAGCGATTTGGGAAAGAAGTTCTGAGCAGCAGTGGCGGCAGCTGCAGCTGGTGGCGTGGCTTGAGGCTCACCCAGTGGGCCGTGAGCAATGGGGCTTTTAGGCGGCAGCACTGCCACACCAGATGCTGCACTGACTGAAGCTGCACCGCCAGACGCTTCACTGTCAGATGCCGCCACACTCGATGGGCCAAGCTGTGCTGCTGAAGCGTTTAATTGTGCACCAGTCTCTGCCTCTGTCCGCTCTGTCTTCGCCTCCTTATCCTCTTCTGTACCTGCCCCACTCGCTGCCCCTCCTGTTAACTTTTCTTCCTCCGATGCTGCCTCTCCTGCTACTTCCCCTGCCGATTCAGCTGCTGCTCCTCCTGCTGCCTGTGCTGCTGGTGCCTCCTCTCCATCCTTTCGCCCCTTCACAACTCCCATCATCTTGCCATCTCTCTTTCCCCCTCCATCCACCTCTCCCACCCCGTCTTTCTCGTCCACCACCACCAGCTCTGGCAGATCAAGCGGAGCAGCCACCACTGTCACCCCATCCGCCTCCTTCTCCCCCTCCCTATCCCCCTCCCTCTCTGCAGCAGCACCACTGCTGTGAGAGGCAAGAGCGGCAGGGGAGACGCTGGGGGCGGGAGAGGCGACAGAAGGAGAGTGCGGGAAGGCAGGCTTGTGGGAGGGGGCGGAGGTGGAGGAAGAACGGGCAAAAGGGGGCAGGTTTGAGGTGAATGGGGAGGAGTGGGTGAAAGACGAGTAGGGAGAGGAGTTGGAGAGGGAGGAGTAAGGAGAGGGGTGGGAGAGGGAGGAGAAGGGGGAGGGGGAGAGGAGGGAGGAGCTGCGGGTGACTCGGATGATGGGCGATCGCATGGGCGTGAGGGGTACTGTGAGGAAGGTGGACGGGTCTTCATCCTCTGGAACCTCGTTGCTTGCCTTGGACTCAGCAACAGCTGCACTTGTCTCCTTAGTACCTAGGAGGACATGCGCAGGACTGGCAGCAGCTGCTGCTGCTGCTGCTGCTGTTGCTGCTGATGATGATGATACTGCAGCAGCAGCTTCAGTTGCAGTCACTGCATCAGAGGGGGTTGCCTCAGGGCCCACCTCCTTCCCACCATCGGCAGAAGCGGCAGCGGCACCATCAGCAGCAGCAACGACAGCAGCAACAGCAGAAGATGAAGCAGTAGCAGCAGCAGCGCCAGCAGCAGCAGAGTCAGAGGCAACGCTATCACCAGCAGCACCCACGACCAGGCTCGGCCGTTCCTTCACACCCACCACCCCTAACTCTTTCACTGCAGCTGCCCGTGCCCGAGCCTCCACCGCCCCAACCAGAACCTTCAGATCGTCCCGAACCTGCGCCAGATCCCTAGGGGTGTGCCCTGTGGTGGTAGACATACCACCTCCCCCAGTCCCACCTCCCCCTCCCTCGCCCCCCACGCCCTTCCCTCCCCCGCCCGCCCCCTGCCGCCTCACCGGCTCCACCCCCTGCTGCCGCATAAACAGCCGAATCTCGCCAAACACAGACGAGAGATGCCGCTCCACCTCCCACTCGCGCATCTCAGCCTCAGCTCTTGCCGTGGCGGAGAGAACAGCCTCAGCAGCGGCAGCAGCGTCTTCACTGCGCTCCACAGCCCGCTGAGCCAGCTGTAGCAACACGTGGATGAACGCTGCCTGGTGCCGCCACACCTCCTGCTGCCCCTGCCCCTGCTGCCCCTGCTGCTGCCCCTGCTGCTGCTGCTGCCCCTGCTGCTGCTGCCTGTGTTTCTGCCCCTGCAGCTGTGCATTGCGCTGCCTGTCTTGCGGTGAGTCCCTGCCTGGTCTCGGACTCAAGCAGCTCTGACCCGCCCCTGTCTTGCCGCTGCTTCTTGGGCTGTTGAAACTGCTGCCCCCAGCTCTGCCCCCCCTGGGGCTGCTGAAACTGCCATTGGAACTTGCCCGCTCGCCTGCTTCTGCTGCCCGCTCCTCGCCCGTCAGAACTATGCCAAACGGCCTCCGAACCACCACGCCCAGCCGTCTCGGTACCTCCTTGGTATCTGAAGCAGAACCAGCTGGAGCTGCAGCAGTGGCATAGGCAGCAGCAGCAGCAGCAGCAGCAGCAGCAGCAGCAGCAGCAGCAGCAGCAGCAGCAGCAGCAGCAGAAGGAGCAGGAGCAGGAGGAGACTGACCGGCCAGCCCACCAGTAAGCCAGCTCAGCATGCCACTCATCCCCCCACTCCCCCCGCTCCCCCCACGCCCTCCCCCGCGTGGACTGCCCGAGCCAGCCAAGGCCGCCCGGGCGGCTTGCGCAGTGGCGGCAGCAGCTGCAGCCCGGGCGGCAGCCAGCTCGTCAGCCAGCTCGCTCGCACCCATCTGCTCCAGCAGGGCGGCTCGCATAGACTTGCCGCCCAATGGCTTGCTGTGCTGGTTACCACCAGTGGCAGCAGTGCTGGCACTGGCGGCAGTACCAGCAGCGGTAGTGGCATTGCTGGCAGTGCTAACACCAGTGGTAGTGGTGCTGCCTGTGCTGCTATCCGTGGTGACTGCAGCAGCAGCATCATCAGTGGCGGCAGCGTGCGTGTCAGGGGAATGTGCAGTGGCGGTTGAAGGAAGAGAGGGAGAGAAGGGGTCGGCGAACCCAACAAGGCGAGAGCCGGAGGGGCGGGCGGGGCGAGAGAAGGAGGCGTGAGAGGTGGCAGGGAGAGAAGACTCAGAGGAGGGAACAGCAGAAGAGATTGGCTCTGAAGCATCAGAAGAAGCATCAGCATCAGCTGTGGTAGTTGCCTCAGATGAACCGGTACCACCTGCAGACGGGAAGACAGCAGCTGCAGCTGCAGCTGGGGCAGAAGGCACAGTAGCAACAGAGGCGGAAGCGGCAGTGGGAGCAGCAGCAGAAGCAGCAGGAGGAGGCGGGGGAGGAAGATTCGAAGCAGGAGGGAGCACGCCAGGGCTGGCAGCAGGAGAGGCCCCCACAGCCCTGGCTCTGGCAGCCGCCAGCGACCCTGTACCTGCAAACGCAGCTGCCACCGCAGCAGCCGCCGTGGCACTAAACGACCCTGAGCGAGAAATGCGGTGCCCCATCTTCCCAACCTGCCCGACCTGCCCGGGCTGCCTGGGAGCGCGGGAGGGGCAGGAGGAAGGCGTGGGGGCGGGCGAGATGGCTGCGGCTTCCAGGCGGCGCTTGATCTCGGGGAGCTTGGTGCCCAGAAAGTCTGATTCCATGTCTGGGCTGTCCGCAAGCAGGGCAGGGTTTAGCGGCCCTTGCTGCTGCTGTTGCTGGAACTTGAAGGAGGAGGAGCTGGGAATGTGTCTGTGAAAGGCTGACACGTCGGATTGGCCCCTCCTGAGGTACGGCCCTCCTGCTGCTGTTGCTGCTGCTGCTGTTGCTGCTGCTGCTGCAGCTGCTGCTGGTTCCAGCCCTCCAGGGGGAGACACCACAGCCTGCCCCAACTCATTCGTAACCTGGTAACCAGCCGCTGTCAGGACGTTCTCCCCAGCAGCGCCAGCAGCACCAGCGCTGTTGAGCTGCCTCTCAAGCTGCACGAGGGCTCTAACGGCCTCCTGGCGGCGCTGCCACTCCTGTTCCGCCACCATACCCGCCTCTGCTGCCAGCTCCTGCTCCCTCAGCAGCTCCCCCATGAGCTCCTCTAGCTCTAGCTCCAGCCCTTGCTTCTCGCCTTCTAGCTCCACCACTCGCCTGCACGGCACAGAGAGGGGAAGGGAAGGCATAAAAGGGCATGGCACATGGGAACGGGGAATGAGAGCCTCTCAATGCCACCATGCCCGCCTCCGCTGCTATCTCCTGCTCCCTCAGCAACTCGCTCACCAGCTCCTCTAGCTCTGCCTCCAGTCCTTGCTTCTCCCCTTCTAGCTCCAGCATGCGCCTGCTCAGCACACAAGCAGGGAGATGGGAGGGAAGAGGAGGGGAAGGGGGAGGGACGTGCGATGCGGTGCGGACAGTCTAGGAGAAGAGGGAGCTTCAGAGTGATTCCACTTCTGCCTGCCTGCCACCATGCCTACCTACCTACCTCCTCCTCTCTCCATCTCATCATGACATCTCACTCATCTGATGGTGAGGTGTCCTCTCCAGTCTGCCGCAGCTTGCTGGCTGCAGCATCTGCCTGCTTCCCTCTCACCCTTGTTTCTGGCATCGTTATCTAGCCAACTAATCTGCTGTACTCTTGCAGTCTCACGACATCGCACTCACTTAATGGTGTCCTCTCGAGTCTGCCTCAGGTCGATGATCTCAGCATCTGCCGCCCGCTTTGCCGCCCGCAGGCTCTTCAGCTCGCCCACCGCCACCTCCAGCTTGTGCTGCAGCAGCGCCACGTCAGCAGGCAGCTGCGAGACCGCCACGTCAGCAGAGTCCACGCCAGCAGGGGCAACACCAGACCCCTCCTCCTCGCCGGCGGATGCGGATGGCAGGACCTGGGACTGGGACGCCTGAGATTCTGGCATGAGAGCCTTCAGCCTCTCCTCTAGCTCTCTGATCCTCCCCTCTCTCCTCCCCACCTCCTCCTCCATCACCTCCTCCCACTTCCTCTCCATCTCCCTCCTCTCCTCCTCCCACTCGCCCCTCTCCCCCTCCCTCCTCGCCTTCTCCCTCTCATCTCGGCTCTTCTCCTCCTCCACCCCCTGCTCCAGCCTCCCCTCCACCTCTCTCGCATGCGATTCCGCAGCGGCTGCTTTCCCTTCCGCTTCCCCCACTCTCTGCTCCAACTCAGCCCTCCTCCTGCCTTCCTCACTCACCGTCCCCTCTGCTTCACGCACCTTCTCTTCCAACTCAACCACCTTTTCTTCCAATTCAACCACTCTCTGTTCCAACTCAACCGCCTTCTTTTCAGATGCAACCGCCCGTGCCTCTGCCTCTGCAGCTCTCTCCTCCGCCCCTCGCCTAGCCCTCTCCGCCTCTCCCCTCTCCTGCTCCGCCTGAAGAGCCCTCCTTTCCCCCTCCTCTCGCTCCCTCACAGCCCTCTCTGCCCCCTCACTCGCCTCCACCAGTGCTGCATCTGCAGCTCGCGCCTGTTCCTCAAGCTCCTTCACTCGGGCCTCAAGTCTCGCCTCTCTCTCCCTCCTCTCCCTTCTCTCTCTCTTCTCGCTCCTCTCCTCCTCCTCCACACCTCCCACACCCCCTTCCGCCTCCCCGGCTGCAGCAGCGCCAGCCCTGGTGGCCTCAAGGCAGGCTTCAGCAGCTTTTCTGCGACTCTTCTCCTCCCCTCGTTGCCTCTCCCCCTCCTCGCACTTCCCCTGCCACTCCGCCACCTCCGCTCGAAGTGCCTTCTGAGTCGACTCAAGAGTCCTCTCGCCCTCCTCGCACCGGCCCTGCCACCGGGCCAGCTCGGCTCGAAGTGATTCCACCTCCACCCGCATCTCCTCCAGCGCCTCCTTCTACTCACACTCACACACTCGCACGCACACACACGCACACGCACGCACAGACGCGCGCACCAACCACTCGCATGCGCACACACATACACACACGCGCACGCACGCACACACGCACACACAAACACAGTAGAGAAGCAGTCAGACACAAGGAGAAGAAGATGGATAGGACGACGCGTGCGGAGCAGAGGGTAACAGAGAAACGGGAGTCGGAGGAAGAGTGAGACGGAGAGGGGCCAAACGGGGCCTACCCTTGAGGACTTCTTTCCCTCTTTTCCTTCCTTGTGCTCCTTATGCTCCTTCCCCTCTTTATGCTCCTTATGCTCCCTCCCCTCCTTATGCTCTTTAGATTTCTTCCCACTTGACTTGTGCGCGCGCTCCTCCTTCCCAGTGCTCTGCCATAACCGAACGTGGGTGCAGTGCACAGCAGGCAATGCAGACGATGCGACAGACTGTAACTGGGCACAGCACAACAGACAACCTTTTGAGGCGCCTCAAAATACGATGCGACAGACTGTGAGTGGGCAGAGCACAACAGAAAACCGTGGATAAGTCACGTGACAGAACATCGTGAGGTATCGTGTCTGCCTTGCAGTAGCAGAAGCGCATGCAGCAGCACACCTGGGGAGCGGATGGGGATGGCAACTGCATTTGTTCCGCCCCTCCCTCCCCAACCCCAGCAGCACCCGCACCACCAGCACCCCCACCAGCAGCAGCCGCAGCTGCTGCAGCTCTGGAGCGCCGCTTGGGAGTGGAGGAGGCGGAAGAGGCGGAGGAGGAGGGGGACGAGGGGAGCGCAGACGCGCTGGCGCCCCCCCTGCAGCCGCGGAGAAGGGGAGGGCGCAGCTGGAGGAGCGGTTGAGGGGGAGCGCGGAGGGGCTGGCAGGGGAGGCGCGGAGGGTGGCGAGGGGGGAGGACGGCCCTGAGGGGTCCTTGGTGCCCTGGAGGGGGGAGACATGGGGGGATGGGGGGGGACGGAGGGGTCCTTATGGACAGTACGCCCTCGTCAGGCCACCACGCAATGGTCTTGAGGGCCTTCAGGCCACCATCCCCCCTCCAACCCTCGAAAACCCTTCCCCCAGTTTTCCTCCTTTCCCTTCCCCTCCTCCCTCCTCTCTCCTTCTCTTCTCCTATATTTCCTCCCTCCCCGCCCGCACTCCCCCACACTACCGTTTCCCTTCCCCCTTCCCCGCGCTATCAGCGCACCTGCTTGTGCCTCTGAAAGCGCGCCATCAGCTCCGCCACCCTTCCCCCCTCTTCCCCCACCTCCCTCCCTCCTCCGCGTTTATTCCCCCACACCCCACCCGCGCTACGAGCGCACCTGTTTGTGCCTCTGAAAACGCGCCATCAGCTCGGACACCTCCCCTCCCCCTTCCGCTGGGGGTTTCCGCCGCCCGCCCGCCGACATGGGGCGGCTCACACCCTGGTCGCCCTGCGACACGGGGCGACCCTCGCCCTGGTCGCCCTGCGACATGTGAGGGGTATGCGAGAAGTGAGGGGTGGGTGAAGCGAGAATGACAATTGGAGTGACGGTAACGAGTGGGTGTGAGGTGTGGGGTAAACAAGTTGACCGCGGAACAGACGGTAACGAGAACGCATGTCATGCCAGTACATCATGCAGCGGTTCGCTGACGAACGGAGAATTAAGAGCAGACGGAAATTTACGGCTGGAAGGGCGCGCAATGGGGCATGGTGAGTCAACGACTTCAACATGAAGTTGTTAATCTCCACAAAGGTTTTTTGAAGGTCGCGGAAGGATAATCCCCGTTGTAGAACTAAATAAGTTCACCAACTGAGTGGGTACTGGCTTTTGTAAGCCATTGTCGCGTCGGCGCAGGATACACTTGAATTTACGCAGGAAATTACCTACCATTGGAATTGGCTCCGTCGACGACGATAATTGCTCTCAAAATGTCGCCATACCGAGAGTTATAAGCCTTATAAATACGAGCGAGCTACTACATAAGGGATTGAAGCTTCCTAAACTCGTTCTAACGTCCTCTCGTTATTACGACTTGCCACGATAACAGCGCGTGTCGGGGGAAGACTGAAAATCTCAAGCTCACTAAGTACGCGCCACTAGGGAATTGAAGCCTGTCCGCTGTTGCGATACTTCGCTCGCTTCGCAACTTTCGCTAAGCCATGCAACCACTTAACCGGCACGCGTGGCTATAAGCGAACAGCCGGAGCGCCAAACTGCAAAATAAGTAGCGGCGCATTTGCTATGGTCACAGACTCACAGGTAGACACATCATGGTGTGATCAAGTGATGGATAACTGCCTGACGGATCAAGTGATGCCCGCCGAATATATCACCTGGCAACAGAAAAGACCCATGCACTATTTGTCTCAACTCCTCAACAGTACGGTTCAGTAGGATTCCACACGGTAAACATGCTATTTTCCTCTTCACCGCTTTGAACCCAGATGCACCATACAAATCAGGACCAAGTTGTGGGAGCCAGTGGGCTGGTGGGTGGGCGGTTGAACTGTAGATACTCTCCACAGAAGTCCTCGAATTTGGTTCTGAACTGTGGGACTATTGTAATATAAGAAGATTTCGCTGTTATCCAACAAAATAGGCTTCTAAAGTAATTTAAGCAGTTATTTCATTCAAATCTCATATATTCGTATGCACGGATAGTGGTTATTATTATTTTCAGTGGATAATGTTCTCCACATATGGCCCTGATAAAAACATTTTTTAATAAAATTCTATCCGCATGGAGATGGATATTATGAATTGTGTTGTGAACCATACGGATCTTGTCTGAAATTGCTTATGGTGTATAGTCCCGAAATTAAAGGACTGCTTAGGAAAAACGAGTGAATTAGCTCAACCAAGCGGATGAGGAAGGCACTCACTCACCTTGGGTGAGGTATGGAGGTTACCGCGACTCGACTCTCGAGTTTCCATCAGCCTCGGGCTTTGTGTCAGCGTAATCGGACGGTCATGCGGACACTTTTATAAACATGCTTTCCATCCAGAGAACCTCAAATTCTCGCGCTTCGTCGTTCCAGGCAACCACAATACGTTTTTCCCGCCACTGCTTCTATCACCCTCTCCCTGCCTGACACTCATCGAGGTCCACAAGAAATGCCGTTGGCGAGGTCCCTTGAGGTTTCCGTCATGTCACACACGCTGGACTCTTCCGTCTTATCTCTCGGTTGTATACGTTATTTGACGGTACATCATGGTCAACCTCGGTACATCCTTCCAACCCATCATGGTCTCCAGCCCTTGCTTTCATCCTCGCCCTACGTGCTGTCACGTCCTGTCATTTCTTATCTTCGAAGCACGCTCAGTGACTCTTAGCTTGACCGCTTTCCTTTCTACGAGAAATTCGGCTCTCGAATCCAACGGCGTCGAAAGTGTCCCGTCTCAACGTGCAGTTTAACCGGTTTCGCCGGTTTTCGCAGCTGCTTGTCTGCTCACTAGTCTGGAATTGGGTCGGATTTCTAGAGACGTTTTAGCTTGTCAGCGACAGTTTGCGATCTCCCCTTCTGTCAGCCATGGCGTCCGCTAAGATCGAGTACGCAATAATAGTTTTACATCGTAGGGGTGACACTTAGTGGGGACCTTCATGTCACAAGTTCCTTCGTTCTACAGATTCACGAGAATAGTTACTACTTTCGACTTTCGAACATTTCTAAGGCGGAGCCAGGAGGTGCTACCGTGATTAGGAATATCGCGGAACATTCTCGGATTCTCATCTTAGCTAGCGGTTCTTTACCGTGCTTTATAGTCCTAGATTCAGCTCTTTTTAACACATTTGCCGTTCGATCGTTCGTCGCCGTCGATCTTCCGTGCAGAAGCAGATTAGAAATCGCTTCACCATCGTTCTTCCGTCAGGGAGAGAACCAGCTACTTTTTCGCAATTTCTCGTACATCGACTAGATCGTTGAGTTTGCTCTGGTCGCAGCGTTTCCCGATGGTCGGATCAACCTACTCGTCGGAGTCAGGAACCAGACCCGTGACTCCCCTCAACGTGCGGTCTCAGATGGATGCGGGTTACCATAGCGGGGGAATGACTATCGTAGAGAAGTAAGTGGAGGAGCAACTAGAATATTAGAATAATGATGTCATGCCTATTTCAGCCTACCAACGCTCCCGTTTGTTTGGTAGCTTCTGATTCTAAGCTTGCAATATTGAAAGTTTCCCGGAACCTTGTCTCTGACATGAGTGATTGACTTTTCCAACGGCAGGCATGTCATGCGGGAGTTACCAAATGCACAGAATAGTCAGCTGGAGGCTGCTGCGAGCCAGCTCGACTCTCCTGAATGCTCTTCCGTCTCAGCTCAAGTACTCACCAGGTTCGCAATGCGTCCCTCCGTCAATTTCAACGTAGATTCGTGCGTTTCTCCAGTTACTCGTCTACCAGTCATTCCACAGCATCCTTATCTGCTGTCGCTTTTCCTTAATGCCGGCAGTACACTTCCTTCCCTAGCCTGAGACATCAGAGTTTCTTCCCTTGTTGCATCGACTGGCTGAAGGCGGCAACCTCGCAATCGGTACCATGAGCGAGCTGTACCATTTAGAGGAAACCTCAAAGACGGAGCTCTTTCCTCTGGCCGCTTCACCCCCTCTCGGTCTTCTCATCAGTTCATTCTCTCCCGTCTGTTGGTCTGTCCGCTTTACCCACCTGTTGCGCTCTCGTGCAGGCCGGCCGCCGGCAGCAGTCTCACGAGCTTCCCAATCAGCGAGCTTTACCACGTGGAGCACTACCTGAAGGCGGTGCAAAGGCAGTCCGTCGCAGCCCGTCGCAGCCTGCTGGGCCGGCGACATCATGCGACTCCCGGCGCGCACGACGGCTCCGACCGAGCGATTTTCGAGGAGATGCTGAGTTTTCAAAAGGTAGGAGCAGGGGCTAGTGGGCGCTAACATGATGTGTTGACAAAGGTGCTTCACGCAAGCTGTTTCGCATAAGAGCTCGCTCCGCATGCGAGTAGTGATCTAGTCCCGTGAGCTTTCAACGAAATTGTCTCTGTACCCTTTGCGCTTCCCCTTGGTACCCTTACCGCAGGACCCCATCCCGACCTCGCTCACGCGGCTCCCCACGGACCTGCAGACGAAAGCCGTGCGAATGTTCCAAGACATTCTGCACTACATGGGTCTCAACGGCGCGCCGATCACAGACGAACGCGAGCTGGCGCAGACGCTGGTGCGAATCCTCAAAATGGTTCTTCGGAAGCCGGAGATGCGGGAGGAGTTATACGCGCAGCTGCACAAGCAGACGCGGAATAACCACGACAGGGAGGCGTGTTTGCGGGCGTGGGAGGTGATGCATCTGTGCGCGTCCGTGGCGCCGCCAGGGGCGTATCTCGGGACGCCTATTACCGAGTACGTGCATGAGATCGCGAACGACGTGGGGGTGGACGAGGAGGTGAAGTCGCAGGCGCTTGCCACGTGGCACGCGCTGAAGAAGGCGATGAAGATCGGAGCGAGGAAGACCGTTCCGACCGTCGATGAGCTGCTGGCGTTGATGACGGGCCGTGCGCTCAAGACGATGGTGTTCTTTCTGGATGATACGTTCGAGGAGGTCGGATACGACGCGTCCACGACCGCGGCAGAGATTTTGGAGGTGCGCATGGGACTGTACAAGCATGGGACTGCGCATGGGACTGTAGAGGCATAGGACTGCGCATGGGACAGCAGAGGCATAGGGCTGCGCAGTGGACTGTAGCTGCATAGGACTGCGCATGGGTCTCTGGAGGCTTAGGACTGTGCATGGGACTGTAGAGGCTTAGGACTGCGCATGGGACTGTAGAGGCTTAGGACTGCGCATGGGACAGTAGAGGCTTAGGACTGCGCATGGGACTGTAGAGGCTTAGGACTGCGCATGGGACTGTAGAGGCTTAGGACTGCGCATGGGACTGTAGAGGTAGGACTGCAGCGCGGAAAGATTGTGCCTCTGGTTTTGACACGCCTCTGCTTCTTATATGCTTCTATTTCTGAGACGGATTGAAGGAGCGCCGAGCACCAGGGTTCTATCTCCGCGTCTCTCTGCTTTTTTTGAATGAGCATAATGTATCTCCCTTCATACCACCGCCATGGCATGTGCGGCCATGTGACTGCCATGTCTTAATGCGACTGTCATGTCCTGTGCAACTAATATTTTTCTTGTCGTGCTTGGTGCAGAGTGTGGCGAGCAGCATTCGCCTGGAGGAGTTCCAGACCTTCGGGCTGTACGAGCACAGGAAATACATCACTCTCGCAAACAACAATTCGGAGAACGTTTCCAGTGAGTCACATGCATGCATGCAGTCGTGACCAGTGAGTCCTAGCCTCCTAGAGTCCTAGCCATAAAGTCGGCTCGGGACATGGGCAGAGTTGATTCAGACTTAATTCAAAAACTTGATTCAGAGTCGGTCCAGAGCAGTCAGTTGGTCTGTCCGTCCCGTGCCTGCTATGAGTCGGTCCAGAGCAGTAAGCTCGTTTGTTTCTCCCGTGCTTACTCTGAGTCAGTCGATTCAGAAATTGTGAGGCGGTGATTCTGGCAGGTCTTCATATGTGATCTTGTCAATTGTATTATAGACTTGTTGTATGCGTATAAGCCGTTTTGAATGGTTTGACGATCTGATGCAGCCCAATTCCAAGCTCATTCCACTCGCTTTCCAAAGGCGCACTTGTATTCAACATCCTTACTTGTAACATTGCTGTCATTGAACAGACGATTATATGGGCATCGATGAGAAGGCCTATATGGGGGACGTGATGGCGGAGCTCATGAGTTTCAGAGAGAAGAGCGAGCGGCAAGTGCAGCTGCGCCTTCTCTTCCGCAAGAAGTTCTTCCGCGAGAATGAGGAGGCGATCACAGACCAGGTCTTCGTCCAGCTGTCGTACCTGCAGGCAAAGCAGGACTATGAGGAGGGGAACTACCCTGTGCCCAGGGATGACGTGGCGCAGCTCGCGGCGCTACAGTTGATCGTGGACTTTGGCATGCTGCCCGAGCCTGAGGTCACACTGTGAGTCCGTTCGCATGGGCAGGTTGTGTTGGGAAGATTCTTGTTCTGCTGAGAAGGTTTTTTTTTCGGGAGCAGGGGCTGTTCCAGTGTGACACTGTGGCCTTAGTTTAGAAGTTGTGGATTTTAGATCTTCAATGCTCATCGCCTTCCTCCCTCCCTCCCTCCCTCCCTCCCTCCCTCCCTCCCTCCCTCCCTCCCTCCCTCCCTCCCTCCCTCCCTCCCTCCCTCCCTCCCTCCCTCTCTCCCTCCCTCCCTCTGCCTCCCTCCTCCCCGTCCTCCCTCTTTTCCTCCTTCAATCCCCTCTATTCCATCTTCTTCCAGTGACTGGCAAGCGCAGGTGGAGCGGACTATCCCAGTGCAGTTTCAGCCCATGAGGCAGAAGCGCGAGTGGGACATGGACGTCCTCACTCGCTACAAGGCGTTGGTAAGCCCACTCTCTGTTCGTTTCGATGCGCCTTAAAGCAAGGCACTGGAAGCCACGCCCCTGTATTCCGCTGTCACCTATTGCCCAACGCTCTCTTGCATTCAATGCGAACTAGAGTAAGCTGCCTCATTTCCTTGACCTCAATCTCGTCTATATGCTGCCTCCATGCAATGCCCTACTACATCAACTTATCTGGATTAGGAGCCCTCAGATTCCTGGACAGGGGGACATCAAGGGGCACTACGCCGCATCGCACGACACCTCACAGCACCACCTTGCACAGCACGGCACCGCACGACACCGCACAGCACCACCTTGCACAGCCCGGCACCGCGCGGCACCGTATCGCACCGCACGGCAGCGAAGGGCACCACACGGCACCGCGCGGCACCGCACAGCACCACACGGCACCGCACAACACCGCACCGCACTGCACGGCAGTGCACCACACTGCCACACTGCACGCATTGCTCCGCACCGCGCCCCACCGCACTGCACCACACTTCACTGCCGGCACCGCAGCGAACCGCACGGCGCGGCACCGCACTGCACGGCACTGAACCGCACCGCAAGGCATGGCCTTGCAAGGCACCGCATAGTACCGCACCGCTCCACACGTCACAGCACCGCACCGCATCACACCGCTCGGCATCGCGTGGCACCGCTCGGCACCGCACCGCATCGCACTTGAGTAGAGGAGCACATCACACTCTATCTGCCATTGCCTCGTTCCTCCACTCCCGATTCTGCCAACCAGTCACACCTCGCATGTGGAGACGCGAGGCAGCAGTTATTCGAGCATTGAATGAAGGGACATGACGAAGCTTGCCATGGCACGTCAACTCACTCTATATGCCTTCTTGCTTTGTTCTCCCATCCCTTTCAACCTTATCTTGTGTTGCAGTCACACCTAACGCCTGAAGATGCGAGGCAGCAGACATTGAGGATTATCCGAGCACTCCCTTACGGTGGTTCTGCCTTCTACCACGTGAGGCGCATCGAAGACCCCATTGGGCTGCTGCCTGGGCGCGTGCTGATTGGCATCAACAAGCGTGGTGTGAGTTGCCCCACTCTGCCCTGATGTGAATTGCTGTTCGGTTGAAACGAGTAGAGGCGGGCCTTTGAACTGCTTTGAACAGTCTTGAATCATCTTTGTCCGCGTAACCACCTTTAGCTTATTTCCAGGGTCTAGAAGCACACAGTTATCATGTCTTCGTGGTTTGCCGTCCCCTCCACACACACACTCCTGTCTTCGTGGCATTGCTGCCCTCTCCAACACTGGCTGGCGTTAGCCTTTGAGTTTAGCACAAAAATCTCTTTGGCAATGCTGTCCTACCTCCTCCGTTCCCCACTGACGCCCACAGGTCCACTTTTTCAGGCCTGTCCCGAAGGAGTACCTGCATTCAGCAGAGCTGCGGGACATCATGCAGTTTGGCAGCAGCCCCGCCGCTGTCTTCTTCAAGATGCGTGTGGTGGGCTCGCTGCACGTCTTCCAGTTCGAGACGTCCCAGGGCGAGGAGATCTGCCTCGCCATCCAGACGCACATCAACGATGCCTTGACCCGCCGCTTCGCCAGGCAACGAGCGCGGCAGCACAACGCGCCGATGCTTGGGCTGGGGCCTGCTGGGGGTGGTGCGGCTGGAGATGGGGGTTCAGCGGGGGGTGGAGGAGGAGGAGGGGTGTTGGGGGAGGGGCAGGGGCAGGGGCCGCACCCGATTACGGAGTACGAGCATCGCACCAAGGAGCTTTCGGAGAGCTTGACCAGGGCGTTTTTGCACATTGAGCAGGTGCGTGGTGCATGAAAGTGGTAGGAAGGTGGTTCGAGTGCGTTCACCTCCCTCTGAGCCTTTTGCTTTCCCAGCTGCCTCTCTTCACGCCTGCCTGAGCAGTGCCCTCTGCAGAGCCTCTTCTTTCTCCCTTTCATGAGACGAGAGAAAGGTTCATCGCACTAATGCATTCTCCCTCTTACTCCTCTACCTTGTGTGCTGAAACCTGTCCCGCCATCCCCTTGTCTTGACAGTTGAACCAAGAAGTGGCGGCGCGGGCAGCAGCAGAGGCGAAGCTGCAGAGCGAGCTTCAGGCGGTGAAGGAGGCGCTGAGGCAGGGGGAGGTGGCGAACGAGGAGGTGGTGGAGGAGCGGGATCGGCTGGCCGAGATGCTGCAGGTGAGAGTGAGAGAAGAACATTGGGAACCCGGAATGGTTTTATCCTTAGAATGGTGGAGAGGGAGGCCCTTAGGCATGGGGAGGTGGCAAACGAGGAGGTGTGGAGGAGCGGGATAGACTGGCCGAGATGCTACAGGTGAGCGGGGCAGGGGAAAGGTGGAGACGTATCTGGTTGGCTTAGAAAGCATTTCAGGCAGGTATTCCAGCGCTGAAGCACAGGATGTTTGTTGAGTGTGTGGGATGCGTGCATTCATTTAAGGCTCGAGTTTCGGTAGCAGTAATGCTTCCTCGCCCACTTCAGCTTAGGAGAGTCGTTTATTTACTTGTACTTGGTCCTCTCTCCCTCCTTCCTTCTTCATCCCTACTCTCGCCTCGCGTCTTCACACACACAGATGCAAATCGGCTGGGCAGCTAGGCAGCACAGTTATCTGAATTTTTTGCCTCTGGAAACGTGAGGAGGAGAGTCGGTGTCTTTGCTTGTGCTTGAATCATTACCTGCTCTGTGCCCCTCTCCCCCTTCACGCCCTTTCCACCCCGTCACATGTACAGGCGGCGAATCATCCGGGCAGGGAAGCAGCACTGTCGTCTGGGTCCTTCACTCCGGGAAGTGTGAGGCGGAGAGACGGGCTTGGCAGCACAGGCAGCAACATGAGTCTGCTGAATGACGCCAGGACACGAGCATTGGAGTCACAGGTGCGTACTTGGTTGATTTAGGGACACTAGCAAATGACCAGTCTGAGTGATGCAGCGCCGCAAAGCCCCTCCCCTCTCATGTGCGCTTTGGTTGCCTGCCTTTTCCTGCTTCTCTCTGAATCAGACTATGTTATTTAGGTGAAGGAGGTGCAGAAAAGCGGGCGAATTTCAAAGTCACACAGCTTTCATCTCTTAGAACTCTCTTTCATTCGTCTCGTGTGCTGTGTGTGGGTGGGTGGTTGCCAGCTGAAGGAGGTGCAGGAGGAGTTGAAGGCGGTGAGCCGGCGGGCAGAGGAGCAGGCACAAGTGGCTGCGAGGGAGAAGCAGGCGTTGGAGCAGCAGCTGTCAAACCTTGAGCTCACGAAGGACAACGAGGTGAGGCTCTTGTTTGTTGTTAAAGGGGTCTTGATAATTTGCGTCGAGCAGACAGGGATAGACGAGCGTTGGAGCAGCAGCTGTCAAACCTTGAGCTCACGAAGGACAACGAGGTGAGGCTCTTGTTTGTTGTTAAAGGGGTCTTGATAATTTGCGTCGAGCAGACAGGGATAGACGAGCGTTGGAGCAGCAGCTGTCAAACCTTGAGCTTTCTAAGGACAACGTGGTGAGGCTTCTGCATTCCGGGTTTCTGTTTACTGCCCTGCATGTCTCCTTGTTCGTGTTCTCCTTTCCCTCCGATGCTTTCTCGTCTCACTTGCACAACAGCATCTTAAGAAGCCTAGTGATCCTCACTTGACCCTTCCCCCCGCCTCCCCCTTCCTCCTTCCTGCCTGCCTCCCTTCCCTCCGCCCTCCACCTGACCGTTACCCTCCCTGCTATTCTCACCCATTGAAGGTGCGTCATTTCGTAGGCGCCTTGATAGTGAGAATACACCCCTCCTCCCTCATCCTGCTCCCCTGTCACTTCTGTTCTGCCGTCCAGATCAAAACGTTGGAGCTGCGGTCGTCAGCGGAGAGGGATGAGCTGGCCGCCAGGCTGGCGATTGCGGAGCAGCGATTGGAGGAGAGCCGGGCGGCGGAGGCCCAGCTGAGGGAGGAGTTGAAGGAGAAGGAGGCACAGTCAGAGCACCTGGAGGAGTTTTTTAAAGAGCTGGACGAGCTGAGGGAGGTGAAGGAGGTGCGTCCGTGAATGGAAGATTGTATGCATGTTGTGTGCATGTTGTGTGCATGTTGTGTGCATGTTGTGTGCATGTTGTGTGCATGTTGTGTGCATGTTGTGTGCATGTTGTGTGCATGTATGACTGGTGTGTGTATGTAGTGTGGGCGGTGGGGGAGGAGGAGGTGCAGCCGGAGCACCCGGAGGAGGTTTTTAAGGGGCTGGACGAGCTGAGAGAGATGACGGAGGTGCGTTAGGGAGGGGGCTAGGCAGGGGTGCAGGGGGCACGGATGTAAAGATAAGCCAAGGGAGGCGCATTTTTTCTGCAGGAGGTGGGAGCATGAGTCTTGACTTGCCGTCTCCCGTGCCATTCTCTCTACTATCTTGGAGCACATGGGAACCGAGTAAGGCATCTGTGGGTGATATATGTGCTAGATTGTAGGTTTACTCTCTGGTTTATGGTCTTCGTGTTGCTGCCACACCTTTCCTCCATGACGAAAGGGACTGAGTGGAGCACCTGGTGGTGGTACAGCGGCAGGGTAAGAAGTTTATAGCTTGTCTGTTTGCTTCCTGGTCTTTGTTTTGATCCCTATGCACGTTACTGGCCTGCAGGAAATGGAGAGGAACAGAGTGGAGATTCTGGAGCTGATACGGCAGCAGGGCAAGCAGATTGTAGCTCACTGTTTGCTCTGCGGTCCTGGTTTTGTTCCATATGCCTATACCTGTTCTGCAGGAGATGGAGAGGAATCGGGTGGAGAACCTGGAGGTGATACAGAGGCAGGGCAAGCAGATCGCGGAGCTGGAAAAGGCGTATAAGGAGGAGATTGTGCTGCGGAAGCGGTACTACAACATGATGGAAGGTGAGTGTGTTGGCTGGGTGTTGGGAAAAGGAGGCGTGTTTTTTGCTTGTTGGGTGTGCCAGTGGCGTGGGCTTGGTGGTGATGCTCCCATGTCTGTCTGCTTGTGGGAGGTGAGTGGGCTGGGCTGGGGGTGCTGTGGGCTGGGCGCTGGGGAACTGAGGTTATATTTGAGTGGGTTGGGTGGTCGAACATTGGGAGTTTAGCAGCATGCTACATCTGGGGAAGGCTTATAAGGAGGATATTGTGTTGCTTGCTACTACAAGTGTGAGGGTGTGGGTTGGGCATGAGTTGGGCGTGGGTTTGGTGCTTTGGCTCTGAATTCTTGCAGCAGAGTTTGGAGCTGGAGGAGGCTTACAAGGAGGAGATAGAGCCGTGCAAGCGCTACAGGAAACTCCACCACCCAAACCACGCCCAGCCCATCATGTTGTAGAGCTTGCGCGGCACTATCTCCTCTTTGTATGCCTTCTTCAGCTCCGTACTCTGCTCTTAGACGAGCCAAAGCACGAAAACCACGCCCACCCCACGGCCAGCCCACCCTAATCTCATTGACATGCATCTTGTTGTATGGTGGCTTGGGGACGTTCCCCGACTCCCTCCCCTTCTCCACCTGCCTCCCTGTCCCTCCCTCCCAATTGCGCAAGCTCAGAGATGGAGGGCAATATCCGAGTGTAGGGAGCAGCAGGGAGCGACCAGGAAGGGGCATGTCTACAGTCTTATCATGCCCTCAACCCCCTCTCCCTCCCCTCCTCTGTCCTCATCCTATCGCTTCCCTGCATCCCCCTCCCCCGAACCTATCCCCATCCCTGTTCGCACCCCCCTTCCTTTTCCCGCTCCCTTTCTCCTCCCCCACACCCCCAGACATGAAAGGGAAGATCCGGGTGTACGCGCGGTGGCGGCCGCTGAGTGGCAGGGAGCGGGGCGAGGGGCAGCGCATGGTGCTGGAGATGCCGGACGAGTTCACACTGCAGCACCCCAACACCTTGAAGGAGGGCGGGCCGCCCAAGTCTTATCAGTTTGACCGTGTCTTCGACCACACGGCCAGTCAGGAGGCCGTCTTTGAAGACACACGGGTGAGAGGGCTGCGTCGGGTTTGGATTTGGGGTGCACCTGTTTGAGGCACACAGTGCACCTGTTTGAGGCACACAGTGCACCTGTTTGAGGCACACAGTGCACCTGTTTGAGGCACACAGTGCACCTGTATGAGGCACACAGTGCCCACTGCCCACTGCCCACTGCCCACTGCCCACTGCCCTGTGCCCTCATCGCTCCCCCCCTGCAGGTCTTGATCCAGTCGACGTTTATTTTCATGGTACAACGTGTGCATCTCTTATTCTCCTCTTTTTACTCCTGCCTTCCGCCCCCTTCCCTCTGTGCAGTACCTCATCCAGTCGGCCGTTGATGGCTACAACGTCTGCATATTCGCGTACGGGCAGACGGGCAGTGGCAAAACTTTCACCATCCACGGGGGAGATCGCAACCCCGGCCTCACTCCACGCGCCATGCAGGAGCTCTTCAACTGCCTCCGGAAGGAGGCTGGGCGCATGAGCTACAAGCTGCAGGTGGGCTGGGTGGTTAGCCTGCATGGTTGGCAGAGGTGTGTTGGGGGTTAGTGAGAGGGGGTAGCAGGGGATTGCTGCAACTCGGCCTCACGCCGCACGCTATGCAGGAGCTCTTCAATTGCCTCAGGAAGGAGGCTGGCCGCATGAGCTACAAGCTGCAGGTGGATGTTTGCTCCTCGTTTTCCCCTCTTCTGTTCTGTCCTGTATTGCTCCTCGCTTTATCCCCTCTTCTGTTCTGTCCTGTATTGCTCCTCGCTTTATCCCCTCTTCTGTTCTGTCCTGTATTGCTCCTCGCTTTATCCCCTCTTCTGTTCTGTCCTGTTTTTATCCTTCTCTTCTGCCCTTCAAGGTCTGCTGCTGTTAACTAAGTCTAACCTCCGGTCTCCTTACTCCTTGTATGTTTGCCCCGCATTTTCTCTCAACCCCTCCTCTGTGGCAGGAATACATGCTAGGGCCCTACCAGGACACGCTGCAGGACCTGCTGCTGCCAAAGAATGCTCCCCACCATTTGACTTAACACTCCCCTGAATGCCTTCCTGGCAGGTGTACATGCTGGAGCTCTACCAGGACACGCTACAAGACCTGCTGCTGCCAGGCTCCTTACTTGCTCATTCATGCTCTCTTCCTTCTTCATCACTTCCCAACCACCCCACCAACCCCTCCTGTTGGCAGGTGGTATACATGCTGGAGCTCTACCAGGACGCGCTCCAGGACCTGCTGCTGCTCAGTCTGTCTGCCGGGCTCCTCGCCCACACGCTCTTGCTCACTTCCTCTCTCATGCCTCTCCCCTGATTTGCCCTGACTTGCCCCCCTTGCAGGTGTACATGCTGGAGCTCTACCAGGACACGCTGCAAGACCTGCTGCTGCTCAATCTGCCTGCCAGGCTCTGTCCCTCACTCGCTCTTGCTCACTGCCTCTCTCATGCCTCTCCTCTGTGGCAGGTATACATGCTGGAGCTCTACCAGGACACGCTCCAGGACCTGCTGCTGCCGAAGAACGCTGTCAAGCGGAAGCTGGAGATCAAGAAGGATGCCAAGGTGTGTGTCATGTACCACGTTGCTGTGTCGTGCTTAGCATTGATGTGCACTCAGCAGTGGTGTGCAGTAGGGACGCTTTGCAGTGCTTGCACAGCTCTTTATTTTATCCCAGCCACCTGACCTAACCCCAAACATATTCAGTTTCTCTAGCCATTTTAAAAGTGCTGTTCTTGCTTGCTTCTTTATGTTCCACATATCCAGCCTTTTGAGACATGGGGCTGTGGGTAATGGCCTCTCTGCACCGATCTAAACCGTTCTGTTACTCTCTCTATCACTCTCCCTCTTTCCAGGGCATGGTGGTGGTTGAGAATGCCGTTCTCATCGAGGTGCAGTACCTGCCGCAGCTGGAGGCAGTGGTGCAGGGGGGCATGGAGAGGCGGGTAGTGGCTGCTTTGCACCGCTCTTAACCGTTCTGTATCCCTGTCTTGTACTTATTCTCCCCACCTCCCAGGGCATGGTGGTGGTTGAGAACGCGACTCTCATCGAGGTGCAGTACCTCTCGCAGCTGGAGTCAGTGGTGCAGGGGGGCATGGAGAGGCGCGCAGTGGCAGGCACACAGATGAACGCCGAGAGCTCTCGGTCCCACCTGGTGCTGTCGATCGTGATTGAGACGACTGACCTGCAGACGCAGAACGTGTGCCGGGGAAAGGTGAGAGTTTGGGTGGGAGTGAGTGTGGGAGTGCGTGTGTGCATGCGTGTAAGTGTCTGGGTGTATGGTGTGTGTGAAATTGAGCTCACGGTCGCACCTGGTGCTGTCGATCGTGATTGCGACTACTGACCTGCCGTTTAAAGGTGAGAGCGTGGGAGTGTGAATATGCATGAGTTTGCACCGCGTGAATGGGAAGCACACAAGATGCAAAGACGTCACAATCAGCTGCCCATCTCCTCTTTCCTCTTAGCATTCCAGCTCTCATTTGTGGACCTGGCGGGGTCGGAACGGGTGAAGTCAGCTGCCCATGCCCGCCAGGTCTACAAGGGATGGACCGCTGGCCTTACCCTTGCCGACCCTGCCAGGTCCACAAAGCTCTCCCCCGATCCTCTTCCCTCTTATCATTTCAACTCTCATTTGTGGACCAGTGGGAGAGGGTGAACCGTTCGTTGCCTCACTTACTCTTGCTCCATTCTCTCCTTTTCCCCCCCTCCCCTTCTCCCCCTTCTCTCCCCTCTCCCCTTGTGTCCTCTCTCTCACTCTCTCCCCTGACCTTTGTGGACCTGGCCGGGTCAGAGAGGGTGAAGTAGTCGGAATCATCTTCCTGTCTTCCTGACTTTGAATCTTTCCTCCCCTCCTCGGTCCCTCTTCCCCCAACGTCCACTCCAGCTCTCTTTTGTGGATCTCGCCGGATCAGAGAGGGTGAAGAAGTCACGGTCAGAGGGCGAGCAGCTGAGGGAGGCCCAGTCCATCAACAAGTCACTCTCTGCTCTGGGGGACGTGATCAGCGCGCTGGCGCAGGGCGGGGGGCACATCCCGTACCGCAACCACAAGCTCACGATGCTCATGAGCGACTCGCTGGGCGGCAACGCCAAGACGCTCATGTTTGTCAACATCTCGCCGGCTGACGGGAACCTGGACGAGACCCACAACTCCCTCACGTGAGTGGGCTTGGGCTTAGGGGTTTGGTGACAGAAAGGTGATGTGTGATGGTTGGGGGTGTTTTAAGCCAAGACGCTCATGTTTGTGAACGTCTCCCCTGCGGACGGGAACTTGGACAACACCCACAACTCGCTCACGTGAGTCCTTAGGGGGTTGGGGGCCTGCTGGGAGGTCGGGGGAGGGGGTGTGGATTGGTGGGTGGGTTCGGTGGGGGGGAAGGGGGGAAGAAGGGGGGGGCGTTCATGGGACGTGTCACTGATCAACCACGAGCTCACCATGGTTGGGTGCGATTGATGTTGAACAAGGCATCAAATAACATCTTGTAACATCTTGTAACATCTTTTAAGAGAGAGGTGTGGTGGCTCACAGCAGTAATAGAGGTGTAGCTCACATCTTTTAGGTGTAGCTCCTTATTCGCCTCCCCTCCTTGTGTGTGAGCAGCTATGCCACGTGCGTGCGGTCAATCGTGAACGAGGCATCGAAGAATGTCTCGAACAAGGAGGTGCAGTGGCTGAAGAGCCGGGTATCAACAGTTTTCCTGCTCTCCTCCCTCTCCTCTGCTCCCTCTTCTCCCTGCCTTCCCTCCTCCTCTCTCCCTTTGTTTTGAGCAGCTATGCCACGCGGGTGAGGTCGATTGTCAACGAGGCATCGAAGAATGTCTCGAACAAGGAGGTGCAGTGGTTGAAGAGCCGGATATCCCATTGGAAGCAGCTGGCTGGGGCGAGGGCGGAGGAGGAGGAGTTGGATGAGATCAGCGAGATGAGGACGCCAGTCAGGAGGCTGCAGTTTGGTGGCAAGGAAGGGGGGCCGAGTACGGAGTGAGGAGGGGTATGGGGTAAGGAAGAAGGTGAGAAGCAGCTTGCAGGGGCGAGGGAGGAGGAGGAGGAGTTGGATGAGATGAGCGAGATGAGAATGCCGGTCTGGAGGGTGCTGTTTGGTGGCAAGGAAGGGGGGCCGAGTACGGAGTGAGGAGGGTTATGGGGTAAGGAAGAAGGTGAGAAGCAGCTTGCAGGGGCGAGGGAGGAGGAGGAGGAGTTGGATGAGATGAGCGAGATGAGAATGCCGGTCTGGAGGGTGCTGTTTGGTGGCAAGGAAGGGGGGCCGAGTACGGAGTAGGAAGGAAGGCAGGTGCAGGGGAGGGAAGCAGCTTGCAGGGACCAAGGGGGCGGAGGAGGAGTTGGATGAGGTGGGTGAGATGAGGACCCCGGTGAAGAGGTTGCTGATTAAGGTAAGGTGGAGTACAGAGTAGGGGTATGTGGAGAGGGGGTGAGGGTGAGGTTGGGAAAGCCAGGTGCTGCATGGGGTGGAGGAAGAGGATTGGATGAGGTTGGTTGAATTGGAGGACTCCGATTGGGAGGGCGCTAGAGTAAGGAAGGGTTGTGTTCAGAGGAAGCAGTGTGGGCGGAGGAGCAGGAGAGGGAGGATGTGAGAAGGAAGTTGAGGATGTGAGAAGGAAGTTGAGGATGTGAGAGGGAAGTTGAGGATGTGAGAGGGAAGTTGAGGATGTGAGAGGGAAGTTGAGGATGTGCGTTCATCGCATGGGGGAGAGGATGGGGCAGTGGAATAAGGAGGGTTGGCAGGGGTGGGATGCAGGAGGAGAGGATTGAGGGCGTGCGAGCAGGAGGAAGGGGTTAATTACAGGCTGAACCAAGGCTGGGTGAGAGAAGAGATGTGTAGCGCCAAATGTTTATATAATTTAGATAGGTGTGGTGTAGTTCTGGTTGTGGGTGGCATGTGAACAGCAGCCCTTTCTCCTCTGCTGTCCAGGCAACCTTGTAGCGCTCTTTTTGTGCTTTGTTCATTTCATGCATGTGAAGGGGGGAGAAGTCACCGTCAGTGCATTTATGTAACCGTTGTATGAAGGCACGCAGATGCAACCTGATATAGTGCCAGAGCGTTATTCCTTACCATGCCTGATACGGTAGGCGTTTTGCTGTTGATGTCAATGCCCCGTCTCGATGGTACTAAGTGTATATGGCAATCTCTGTTTCCTCAGCCTAGGTGGTTGTTCATCTAATGGTGCACTCTTGCCAATTGTAAGCTTATGGAAACTTGACAAGAAGAAATTAGGCACAGTAAAAACACATCAGCCTTGCCTTGTGAGCACTTCACATCACATCAGGTAGCGTGCCTCACAGTTGCATGACAGTAATGAGAAAGGGGGGAGATTGGTCATTGGAAATGCTATCAACAGCATTGCATTACATAGCATATTTTTTATACAACATGGTACACCTAAACTAACCAGCCCACAACCAGCGCATCAAGCGCGAGTTTGTATCAATCGTACACATACACCCACCATGAAGAATCAGGTATGGTAACCAGGTGACTGAAGGTTGTTCCACTTTTCCAGTGGATCCAGCTCCTTCTGCTCTGCTTCTCTTGCTGAACGCAGCTCAGGACGATGTGTGGAAGGCAGAGTGCCCTCTCAGGTTAAGCCGCACTGGAATCTCCTGCTCCTCTAGCTGCCTCAGCACTGCCGTTCTCTCGCTCTCCTGCCTCTCCGCCGCCGCCTCCTCCATTGCATCTGCTTGCCTGTCAGCCAGAGAACTGGCATCCACCATCTCGTATGATACCAGCCTCACAGGGGTCTCCTGCTCCTCCAGGTCTTTCAGTGCGACTGCAGTTGCGTCTGCCTGCCTCTCCGCCGCCTCTTCTTCCATTGCCGCTGCTTGGTTAGCGGCAAGAGAATCAGCATCCAACATTTCATATGAGGTCAGTTTCGCCGGAATCTCCTGCTGCTCCAGGTCTCTCCACGCGGCCTGCTCGGCGATTCTTTCTCGCTTCGCCTCCTCTGCTTCCATGGCTGCTGCTCGACTTGTGAGTTGAGAGCTGGCGTCGACAAGCGAGAAGGACACGAGGCGGATGGGGATCTCCTCCTCCTCCATCTCTTTCACTGCTGCAGCTCGAGCTGCCTCTTCCTTCTCACTCTCCTCTTCATTCTCCCCCTCCTCTTCCTTCTCTCCCTTTTGTACCTCCCCCTCATTCTCCTCCTCAAAGGCTTCCATGCCTTGAATGGCGGAGCCCTGTCCTGCCTGTTGCACTGCCACGCCCTCCTTCTCAATCTGCTGCATCACCTGAGAATTCTCCTGAAAAGGCTCAGGGTTCTCCTGCTGCAGCTCGAAAAGCTCAAAGACTTCGACGCCATGAGGCTGCTCCCGCTGCTCTTGCTGTTCGTTTTGCTCCGGCTGCTGCTGCTGCTGCTGCTGCTGCTGCTGCTCCTGCTGCTGTTGCTGCTGCAGCTGGTTCTGCTCCATCTGCTCATCGTGTTGCATGGCTTCCAGCTCCAAAGCAGCCATGGCCTCAGGGTTGTTCTGATACGCCCCCTCTGCCTGCTGTTGTTGCTGCTGCTTCGCCTGAGACGCTGCTTCAACGATCTTCAACTCTTCGGCCTCCTCCGCTTGCATTCTCGCCATGTCCGCTTCGAACACGCCCTTCACGTGCGCATCATGCTCCTCCTCCGCTTCTGCTCTCTCCTCCGCCTGCCCCTCCACCGCCTCCTGCTCGTCCCCGTCAGTAGCGTCCTCGAAAACGGACAGCGCGCTCTCGGAGGTTGTGCTGTCGTCTTGCGTGGTATCAGCGGTGTTGGGCGTTGTACGCGTTACAGACTTCGTTGCGTTGCAGTACCGAGTTCCGACGCTGCAAGAAGCGTTCGCAGGTAGTAGAAAAAAAAGAAGGGTAACACCATACACAAACAGAAGACACTCGGGGAATAGTGCGGTGAGAATCGACAGGGGAGCGGGAAGGAAGGAAAGGGTGGAACCAGGGGAAAGAGGGGAGGGAGGGAAGAAAGACAGGAGACGGGAAAGGGGGAAGCGGCTATAATTTGGACGCGAGAAGAAGCGCGGGGAGAAGCGCGGGGAGAAACGCGGGGAGAAGCGCGGGGAGAAGCGCGGGGAGAAACGCGGGAGAAGAGACGCGAGGACAGACGGGCGCTACTCACAAGGCATGCTCCTCGCCGGAAGAAACGCCGTCTGCGGCGGGGAGGCCAAGAGAGGACATGAGAGGAAGCTACAAGAATCACTCTCAACCGCTTGGTACCGACTTACAAGGCGTTCTCGTCGCCGGGAAGGAACACCGCCGGCCCGTCCGCGGAGCACACGTCAGCAGCGAAGAGCAGGCAGCGGCGGGAGCGGAGCAGGAAGTTCCAGTAGGCGCAATCCGCGCGCTGCTGGCACTCCGCGCAGCAGTCCGCGGAGTGGGCGCCCGGCGGAAGCGGAACGCCGTGGGGGAGCGCGGGGAGGCGGAAGCGCTTCGAGCCCTGCACGGCGAATCGGCCCAAGTAGGCCTGTGATTTGCAGGCGGGATTTGCGGCGGCGGATGCGGATTCTGTTGACGTGGCAGGAGGGCAATCGACGCCGATTGGCCGGAATGAAGGGCAGTTGTTGGCCGCAATTGGCGCCGCAAAGTGCGCGAAGGTCACGATGAGGAGGGGTAGCGTCACCAGTACCTTGAAATGACGCGATGATTTTCGAGATGCTACAGATACAGGGGGACGACCGACACTCGCCATGACGCCCGGTGGTTTACTCCCCCGCGTGACTACTAATAGCTGCGTGCGTGGAGACAACGCCAACGCGTGGGATGGCTGTACCTTGCCCCTGCAGATTCTTCTCTTGCTGCTGCTTGCGTTGCCGCTGCTTCGTCGTTTGGCCCGCCGGTTGCTGAGACGCCGAGGAGAATTGGGGGAGAAGTCGTGAGGTTGAGCGATTAAAATTGTCCGATGCTCGGCGAAGCTTTGTGCTTCGTCGTCGTCGAGAGGTTACGGGCGCAGCAGTCTTCAGACGATTCAGTTTCCCGGATAATCACAGGAGTAGAGGAAGAGGAGAGCAGAGAGTGCAACCTTCAGTTCGCGTGAAATCTCTGAGAGACTTGCGGGTGGGCGGATGCGAGAAGGATAGTGCGGTGGCAGTTATGGCAAGAAGAAAAGGAGGCCAACAGCGAGATGGAACCAGAGGAGCTTCTTCAGGTGGTATTAGAGTAGGTTAAGGAGGAGTCGAGGAAAATGACAAATGCTGTTTTATGGACTTTCCAATACCTATCATCAGCAGCATGGTTGTGGATTATATGCAATCTAAGTCCTCAGTGAGAAGACTGCCTGCCTGACAAACCCGCGCCTTCAGCTGGTCAGGCGGAGCGCCAGGAGAATTCTCACCTTGGAACGCGTTTCCGCTCACGCAAGCCAATCGCAAATCGTGATTCCTCCGCCCTTGTGCTAAGGTGTTCTGTTGCAGGGGTTCCGTAAGGAAAAGCTCCTCCTGAAGAAGGGACTTAGTGGGGACCTGAGCCTATGGCTACAGCTGGTGAAAATTCAGGCTTGCGTTCAGGCGAACATGAGGGAACTCCTGCGGTTCCCCCCCTCCCGCCAAAAGAAGAATCACGCCAGGAAATTGCTGTGGCTGAGTTGGAGGGCAGCGAACGGGGGTTACTGCGGAAGTTGAAAGTTTTAGAATCTGCATGGAGGTCTCTAAATCCCTGAGCCGGATCTGAACTCTTTCAGAACTAAAAAAACCCTTCACAAAAAACGATTCCACAAACTCATTCAAAGCGTCCCATGATTCCGCAACTCAGGCGGGGCATGGAACAGAGTTTTTTGGAACATTTCACCAGACTTCACACAATATTTTGGTTACGTGAGGAGACTTACCCAGATCCGTGGTTCCTCTCACATCAGCAACGGTATTCACGAAAATCTCGTAGCATAGCGACTAGTTACAGCCCGTTCGTGACCTTCACTTCTGTCCCAGAGTATTTAGAGTTTGCATATGCAGTCACGCTATATAACGCGTTGTGCTGTAACGGATTTAAGGATGTTTCGCGAGATACTTCCAGCAATCCCGTTCCCCATCAGCCGCAACACGTACCCTCTCTTCCCTTAACCCCACTGGCACAAGTGAATGTAGTACCATGCGGTTCATTGACACTAACTTTTATTAGTAACACATTGCCCACACTGACGCCAGCAGCCCTTTCCGAATCCCGCACGTCCCGCAACTGAATCACTCCTCCTGTCCTCCTGACTTCGGAAACGGGAGGGTATGGCGGGAACAGACGGCGGTGACGCTTCGTGGTCCAGGAATCCGAAGGGAGAGACGCAGCACATGCAAGTATGGAAGAACATAAACGACAGAAGATGGGGGACACGCAGCGAGTGGTGGGCCGTATTTCAGCTCATCCCGTTCATCCTCGTTCTCTACCCCCCTCCGTCTCTCCTTCCCAACTTCCTTCGCGCCTCCGTCTGCCCGTCCGTCACGATTTTCTCCTTCGACGTCATCCGCGTTACTGGCGTTCTGATCGCTCTGAGCTCCTGTGTTTTCTTTGTATCTGCTCTGAAAGACCTTGGAGAAAGCTTGACACCTTTTCCCAAACCTGCAGCTGCCGCCACTCTGAAGACAGGAGGCTTGTACTCGATTGTGCGGCATCCGATATATGCAGGAGCCATTTTCGTCGCAGTGGGGGTGACTCTCGCAACATGCAGCGGCGAGAGGTTGCTGTACACTTGTTTTCTTGCCATGTTCCTAGACAGGAAGGCTAGCGTTGAGGAGAAGTGGCTTTGTGTTAGATTTGGACGACCATATGTAGAATTCAATGCCCGTGTGAAGAAGCTCATTCCTTATGTCCACTAATGAGTAGTTAGTAAGACTTACCGGTACAGTGGGCTCTGGTTATCAGACAAATTTTGTCTGATTGTCTGATTTTCAGACACGATTTTTTGTGTTCATATGATTTCCCAGACCAGTCATTTATGTTCGTATGATCTCTCAGATAAAGCATTTTGGTTCATCTGAAAAATAAGACTAAGGGCTTACAACTTGTCTGAGTACTCAGACAGAGAGTATGTTTCAATCTTGGAACAGACAAGTACCGAAGCCAGCTTGCAGCTGGAGTTACCGAAAAACGACCTTTAATTTTTACAAACAGATTCTTTCTCGCCAGATTGGCTCAGTCATTAGTCAGTTTCCTTATACATTGCGGGGCGGAGTTCGATTCCAGTGTTACATTAATACGGTCAGTTTTTGTTGTCTGGAAATTCAGACAAGTGTTAATGTTTCATCTATAAAATCAGACCACCCGAGTTTGTTCATATTTCCTTCATTTTTCTCGTACTTTCATTTCAGACGGGCCAAAAACCTAGCCAGAGTCCTGTCAGTGACATAACATTCCAGCCACATGGACCTGGTACAGGTATTCCATGTGCACACCATGTCATATACTGCTCTTGTAATACATAACTCACTCACTTCCACCATTCACCCTTGTGGAACCCCCTCCTACTGTACATTTACTTATTCAAGTCACTTATGTGATTTTACACCCATATTTGCAGCTGCCTCATTAAAATGTGTTGAAAGCGCACAACCAATCCTGTCTCAGAATATCTTGTTTTTACAGAACAAATTGAGGCTCTTACGGTATTAGGGGGTGAAGGTTACCGGTAGGTTTGCTTCTTTGTTTTGCAAAATGAGCTTCATAGCAGTTGACTGTACTGTAGATCCTCACTCTTACTGAAGCACCCACAAACCATCCGTTGATTATTGTGGTCTCCGTCCTCAGTTAGCGCATGAACCTATGTTGGCGTGGCGGGTGGCGTGGCGAGACGAGAGGTGAAGGGGACAGGGCAAGAACGTATTCCTTACCTGGGCTCAGGACACGTGAAAGTGCAGATATCGCAGGATCGTCTGCACATATCGATCCCCATAATCGAGTGGGCAGATCGATTGGCGAAACATGGCGACCGCGACGTTGTAACGACTGAGAATTGACAGATCTCCCGCGATCAGTTATCAGTCGCATTCACACACAATAGAGAACTTTTGGTCAAAAGCGTACTGTAGCAAGATTAAGCGTAGTAAATAGGGTAAACGAGCCGCACATCGATCGTGACTGACGATCGATCGTCTACTCTTAACTGCGCCCTCAGTGTGCCAGCTTCAGCACTGTCCCGTATTTTGGCCTGCTGTACAGTCAGAGGCAGCATTCCGCGAGCAGTTGTGGGGCACGTGAAAGTCGTTGTGGTCTGTCCAAGCTGTCTCCCGTGCCACGCATGCCTGCATTTGTCACACGTGAGTCATGAGAAAAAAGGCAAGCTGCGAGCCATCGCCAAATCAGCCACTGGGGTCAGCGAGCCATCGCCAAATCAGCCACTGGGGTCAGCCGAAATGCTGCCTTCCCGTCAAAGCTACGTGTAGATAGTTCCGCAATTATCCAAGCCTAGCCACGTCCGTTTGCCACTCTGCCAGGCAATCAGGGTTCCTGATTCTGGATTTTCTCGCAGAAATGTCCGCGACTCGCATATGGGCGCTGCGGTGAGCTTCATCGCTGCGCTCGGAAGTTCCGCCACGACCACTTGAATAAGCATCGCTGTGCTTGAATTATTGCAATTTTTTTATTATCTGAAATTCTTGAGAAGCTCTTGTCAAACCGCACCTTAGTGCTTAAAAAATGTTTCTGGCCAGAATGTTCTTATTCTCGCGCGTTCGCCTCTGTCTTCCGCGTCCCTCATTTCCTTCCGCGCCCCCGCCCTCCCCAACTCCCGCCCTGATATTCCACATCTACAACGCTGGAAATCACATAAGGGCTGGATATTTGGACTAGTTGTTCTCAAGTTCCCATTCTTCCCATCTTGAAGATCCCACAACCCTGGGGCTCGACAAATAGCTCCAGCGCTGTGTGTGTACTCTCGAGCTCTGCTTACTTGATCACAGAGCTCACACAACTCCTTTTGACCTCGCATCTCCCTTCCACATTGTTTCAGATCCACTCTTATATTCAAGTCAACATTTTTTTGTCACGCACTCCACTACTTGAAACAGCGTGAAGGCCAAGAGGCGTCGCGAAGCGGATACACTACTACACTCAGCCGAAAAGACATAATGGCTCCCCGATCACCGCTCAACATGCGTGCGCTCCTTGGTCTCCTCTCCATCGCCGTCCCGATCCTCGTTGCGCTTGTTCCTGGCGTCCAGTCCCGCTTGTTCTCATCCACGGTCTACGGCACCGCTTCAGGCGGCGGCGAAGGCGGCGAGACTCCACGCACGCCCCTTCACGTCGTTTTCCACGGCACGTGGAACGCTGCTGACGTGGCTCTCGTGAAAGAGTTCATCAGCGTGCTGCCAGCTCAAGGTTACGAATCGCAGGTACTAAACTCCTAAGTCGCCCAAGTATCCGCGATACTAGCTCCTGCGCCACCGCCTTCCTCCTTTCACTTGGTCTCATTCGCTCATGAGCTCACTTATCGTACGTCTCACATCCTTGGGTGTCATCCTTCGCACCATAACAGTTTCTTGCATGCGTTTTCCCGCAAATGACTGACGTTACTGTTTTCCATCGTTCTCAACTGTTCCTGTGGCAGGCTCAGCTGGGATCCGTAGCCATTGATAACAACCACTATGGCGACACGTCTGTTGAAGGTAACAATGTAACCTCTTTAATGTGCCAATGTCGCCACTTCCGATATTGCATTCCTAGAAACTAACCTCGACTTCTCATTTTCCTGATTCCCGCTCCTCTTCG